CGCGCAGACGCAGTCTCGGTCACGGCGGAAGCTCCCAAAACAGCCTCAAGTGCATGCTCTGCAGCCACGCATTGCTCCTTCAGTGCCTGCTGCACAGGTGAGTCAGGCGCCAATGCCTCTTTCTCGGCGCTGACAGCTGTGCGCCACACCTCCAAAACTTGCTCTGCCTTCTGCTCGAGCGTCTCTTGTTCAATCTGCTCTACCAAAGCTTCAAGATCGCTCCTCTGCTGCAGCTTCTCTGGCGCCGAGCCAATCATGGCTTGCTCGAAAGCAGCAATCACCTTTGTGAACTGAGCTTTCCCCATCTTCATCAACTCTTCGTTGGTGTACGAAGCACTCGTGTTCAGGCCGATTTGGCGCTTCACAAAGTAAGTTCTTGAGCGTAGTGCCTTATTACGCAGGGCCGTGTTCAAGGCAAAAAAGTAAAAGCGCGGGTGCGTTTGGAAGCGACCGTCGGCTCGCAGCAGCATGTGTTTGATCCACTCCCAGAAAGAGAGCGGCTGCTGGTTCTCCGCTCGCTCCTGAACATGGGCCCAGTAGTCCCCCTGTCCCAGCGGAAAGAGTTTGAGGAACCCTGCAGCGATGTAGTACGGGTGATCCTCACGGATGAGCACGTTGCGAGACAGCACTGTGGGGGGATCCACAATGGGCAGGCCTGCCACACGACCTGCGCCGTGGCGCTGTAGACTGGCTGAGGCCAGCACATCTGAGCGATGTGCATCGCCCAAGGCATTCCAAAGATCCTCTTGCATCTCTTGCTGCGTTTGCTGCCCCGCCAAGTCTTCGGGAGACCAACAGCCTTCGGGAGTCAGCGGCTGCTCCTCCCAGGCCGACAGCTCTTGCACGGCTGTCAACTCATCGTGCAAAATTTGCTCAACTTGGTCGTGTCCCATGCTTTGCTGGTCTGTCAAAGGGCGGTCAGAAAAGACGCACCGCTGCTGCGAGACTAAGTACCCCACGAGAGTCGAGGTGACCAACTCATCTGGGCCGCAAAGTCCAGCTCGTCGAGCTTTTGTCTCAAGCTACACCAAGTTTTCTCCATGCGGTCAGCATCACTGACGCTCTCTGGCGGCTCGTGCAAAGCTCGTACTAGCGAGGCCAGCTGCAAAGACAAAGTGCTGGAAATCCACATCGCAAAGAGCCTCTTTTCGATCTGGGGCCAGATCTGCTGCTGCACTTCCTGCACCTCCAAGCCCTCCGGCTCTGCTCCCTCTTCAGTGTTGGAGTACTGCTCCAAGTTTGCACGGTTCACGAAGCCGCAGTATCCTTCGGGAGTCAGGCCACCCGGGCGCAACGCCGCGGAGCCTCCATCTTCGACGGGCCGGCACAGTCGGTTCAGGGCACGCTCGAGACGCCGGCGCGAGACCAGAAAAGGTACTCGCTGCTTCCTGTGCACATCCTTGCTGCAGCGGCGTATCAGGAGCATTTTCATGTCTCCAACTGCAGCAGGAATGTCTCGCACGAACTGCGGGCCGTGTTGAAAAAGGTTGCCCACGTGGCCTCGCAGCTCACACTGGCCCGTGCCGTACAGCGTAAAGATCCGCACCAAGTGCTGGATCGGGGACAGGATCTCTTCCTCGAAGAAAGTCAGGGCATCGATCTCCGGGAGTGTCTCTCCCGGATCTGCGTGGTTGGCCGCCGTCAAGCGGAACGGCTCCTTGGGCAACATCGCCTTGGCACGTTCCTTGGCTTCGTGCAAGCAGTTCTCACAGATTGGCTTGCCGGCTTCCAGCCAATCGGCCTCAGGTGCCCGACAGAAGTTGGTCTTCTGAAACGCTTGGGTCTCGAAGCCTCCGGGCAGGCCACTCTTGCCTTTGCCTGCGGCAATGCCGAACCAGCCTTCCTTGCAGTAATGGCAGTCCTGAAACTCCATGCTCAGCATGTAGGAGTCCACCTCATGCACACGGTGGAAAAACGGCATTGTGCGGGCTTCGGCGTCCATGCTGTTGCCGTACAACTGCCGTAAGCTCTTTGGCAGCCGAGGCCGCGGCAAGTGGTCCCCTAAAACTGTCTCACTGGCGTGCAGCTTTGGCTCATGCCATGCCTTTAATGGCATGTGTTCCACTTCGATGAGAAGCGGCTGCAGCGCCCTGCGAACACGCTCTTGGTCCACCAGGGACAAATGGCACCAAGTTCTCCGGAGGAAATCATAGCCGAAGCGAAAATCATCATCGGCTTTCTTGCCATGGCCGCTGAACAGCTCCTCGGCACAAGTAGCTCGCAGTGCCTGCAGCTCGGCCTTTCTTTGCTGAAGCATAGTCAAAACCTTTTCGACCAGAGCGGTTTCGGAGACACACAAGTCACGCTCCCAGCCTTGCACGAGTGCTTCTTGCTCCGGCGACAGATGCTGTCTGTATCTTTTGAGAAACATAGCACAAAAGGAAGAGCTTACATCAGCTCCCTGGTCAAGGCTTTGCAATGCCTTCACCAGGGAGCTCTTTTCTTGAGCTCGCAGCACGGCAGAGTAAGCTTGGACAAAAGCACTCAGCCTTGCAAAGCTTCGATGAAGGCCGGCCAGAAAAGGCGCAGCCTCCAACTTGGACTTGTCACAAAGCACAAACTCCCAGTCTTCTAAATGCTCTTTCTGGTCGGCATTCAACAACGCCACGTGCCTGTCGAAGAAATTCTTAGCTTGCTTCCAACGTGTGTCGGAATTCGCGCGGTTGCTGCTGACAACAGCTGACAAGCTTTGCTTCTGTAGCTGAGCAATTTCAACAGCATTCTGAGCGAAGAAGGCTTGCACTTCGACAAAGGCAGGAGCACGACGCGATGCTGCAGCTTCTTTTGCCGCAGCACTCACTTGACACAACTCAGCTTCCTTTGCAAGCAAAAAATCCTTTTCCGCAGACGCCAAGCGGTCGCTATAGCGCAGCAGGAAAACACGGCAAAAGCTCGACATTTGAAATTCCTGCATGTGTCGACAAAGCTGCCAGCAAGCTTGGCTTGCTTGAGTATCTTATCGCCTCTGCCGTCTCTGTCAAAAATGCCTCCACGCGGCAAAAGCAGCGTTGAAGGCCGGCCAGAAAAGGCGCAGCCTCCAACGTGGACTTGTCACAAAGCACAAACTCCCAGTCTTCCAAAATCTGCTGCTGAGCTGGCTCCAAGCTTGAAAGTTTTCGTCTGCAGAAATTTCTGGCTCGCTCCCACTCTGGTACCTGACTGCGCCGCTTGCTGTTGAGCAAAGCTGTAAGCGTCGGCTTCTTCATTTGCACAAGCTCCTGCGAGTAGGCTGCCAAAAACGCCACCGTCTTATCAAATGCGTCTGCCATGGCGTCCGGAGCGGTCAGAAAAGACGCGCTCCACCGTGCGGGATACACAAGGAAACGATGTCACTGGCATGTGTCTGTGGAAGTATATGCGTTCTGTGGGAACACAAACTAAAAAAAAAAACATCAAGAGGTTGTCCGCCTGAGCGTGATGCTGGTAGGTCGGCTGGTGACAAACAACAAACTAGAACATTAACATGTTCTCGGCCTGTGTGTGGTGCTGGTGGGAGTGCTGGTGAAAGTGTAGTGGTGGTAGTGGTGGTGGTGATGTGAGTTGCCGCTCCGCGATTGAAGCCGGGACATGAACAAACATGAACAGTGGTGGTGGTGATGCTAGTGATGCTGGTGACGAAAACCGGGACATTGAACAAACATGACATACGCGGAGCAACTGACAAGACAGAGCCGAAACGCCACACGGTCACAGCGACATTACCTCCCTATCTATCTATCTATCTGTCTATCTACCTATCTATCTGCCTGTCTACCTCTCTATCTATCTGTCTACTTGTCTCTCTATCTTTCCAGCTTTCTATATATCTATCTATCTATCTATCTGTCTGTCTGTCTATCTATCTAGAGCGCGACTAACTCAACAGGGCAGCGTAGGATGCCTTGCGCGTTGCCATTCCAATGCGTTTTACCACTGCCAAGCTGCATTCCATCTTAGAAATGCGCACCGCGCGCAAGCGCCACGCATTTTTTCCAAATTGGATGAAAGCCTTGCGCGTTGCCATTCCAATGTGTTTTACCACTGTCAAGCTACATTGCATCTTAAAAAACGCGCACCGCGCGCAGGCGCCACGCATTTTTCCAAGTTAGATAAAAGCCTTGCGCGTTGCCATTCCAATGCGTTTTACCGCTGTCAAGCTACATTGCATCTTAAAAACGCGCACCGCGCGCAGGCCGCGTGCGATTTTTGAAAGTTGGAGCTTCCAAAAGTAGCCCGACCCTCTCAGGTTTTTACGATTTTGACTTCCAAATGTGCACCGCGCGCAGGCCGCGTGCGATTTTTGAAAGTTGGAGCTTCCAAAAGTAGCCCGAGCATGTAGTGTTTTTACGATTTTGACTTCCAAATGTGCACCGCGCGCAGGCCGCGTGCGATTTTTTGCCAGCAATTCCGACCAAAGGCTCCGCACCCGCCGCTTTACCGAAGTAACTTCTGGGCCGTCTGGAGGCTCAAAACATTGAAAAATACAGCATTTCGCGACCTTTCTAACATTTCGCACACCATGCTTCATCTTTCTTCATCGCTTCTTCATCTTTCTTCATCGCTTCTTCATCTCTTCTTCTCTCTCTCTCTCTCGCTCTGCACTGCTCTGCTTGAGTTGTCGATATTGTCGGAAGTTAGACTTCTAAACTTCCTTCGATGACCTTTCTAGTAGAAACAAAGTCGAGGGTTCTGCGCGCTGCTCATTTGGAAAGGGACCAACTAGTTGCGTTTCACCAAGCCGGCACTGACCGCCCTCTGGTGGGTTCCTTTTGCCAACGTGGGTGGCAGGGTGCGTCCCTATTTGCGTGCCAAACGGCCCATGATTTCCAACACGATCAGATTGTCGTGATTTTTTTGTTTCTGACCCCTTAGTGGTCCAAATTGCCCCAACACGATGAGATGATCAGATTGTCGTGATTTTTTCTGACCCCTTAGTGGTCAGGTCCCCAAATCGGTGGATTTGCCATTGGTTCAAACCCCCAAAACGGGCACCGCGCCGCGCCGAGCGCTCAGTCGCGGAGGCAGCTGACACCATCGAGACCATCCCGTCCACCAACCCGTCGCCAGGACCTGCAGACCTCTCTGGGGGGGGGGGGGGGGTTCAGGGGGATCAAGCCGAAGCCTTGGTTGATTTCTTGGAAGGGGTTTGTCCCCTTCTAGTGAGGATTTGTCACTGGAGGGGAACGCCCCCTATGGATAGGACTTGTTTTTTTCCCTCACGCAAGGCCGCCATGGTGGGGAAGCCTTCGTAAGCCTTATTTGGGGTCCTTGGCCTATCTAAGTCTATCCAGAGATAAACCCCCACTAGCGGTGCGGGGGTTAGTGGCCCATGAGGACGGTCATCTAATTGAACGTCTCTTACAACTTTTTGGTTCTCAGGAAATTCCAAGAGTTTGGACAACAAAGAACTATAGGACCCGCCCCCCTCCCCCTGGTTTCCTCCAAAAAAAGGCCTCTCATTGGAGGAACCCAAGCGGGAGGGGTAAGGGAGGGGTAAAGGATTGGCGAGCCATAGCAAGTTGCCTCAACGGGCTCAATTAAAATTCAGTGTGTGGGTCAAACATAGGTACCCAAACTGGGTTGCCCTGAACCCTGGACTAAAACCTTTCTCCAAGTTGCTTAATTTCGAGCCATACCCATTTGGTTTCTTTGTGGGTTTCCCTTCACACGTCTTGGAACAGGAGCCACGACAATCAACGCTCACCAAACCCAGCGCTTCCCGGGAGGAACAAACATGGTGCCTTCGAAGTTGATTCGGATGGATTCGGATGGAATGCGTCGGAAGATGCGAGGAGCTGCGAAGGCGATGCACTTGGAGAACATGTCCTCGGAAGAGGGGGCCCGCGCCCTAGGAACCCCAGCGAAGCCCTCGCGGTCCCCTGTGCTCTATTAGGGAGCCTTACGCACCCCCCCTACAGGGATTCCCTCAGGAATTCCGCATGGGGCTCGCAACAGTGTGTCGATTGTTTGGGCAAAAATACTTTAGAGCCTCCGGCTCAGTCCGCCGACATTGTCCTCTCCCTTTTCTCCTTCTTCCTCTCTTCCTTGTCTCCCTCGTGTGTTCTGTCGTCCTCTCTCCCTCCCTCTGCTCCCATCCTCCCCATCCCCCCAAGCCTCTCACTCCCCACTCTCCCTCTCTCGTATGTATGCATGCATGTACATATGTATGTATGTATGTATGTATGTATGTATGTATGTATGTATGTATGTATGTATGTATGTATGTATGTATGTATGTATGTATGTATGTATGTATGTATGTATGTATGTATGTATGTATGTATGTATGTATGTATGTATGTATGTATGTATGTATGTATGTATGTATGTAATGTAATGTATGTATGTATGTATGTATGTATGTATGTGTGTGTATGTATGTATGTATGTATGTATGTATGTATGTATGTATGTATGTATGTATGTATGTATGTATGTATGTATGTATGTATGTATGTATGTAATGTATGTATGTATGTATGTATGTATGTATGTATGTATGTATGTATGTATGTATGTATGTATGTATGTATGTATGATTGTATGTATGTATGTATGTACTTTTTATGTATGTATGTATGTATGTATGTATGTATGTATGTATGTATGTATGTATGTATGTATGTATGTATGTATGTATGTATGTATGTATGTATGTATGTAATGTATGTATGTTATGTTATGTTATGTATGTATGTATGTATGTATGTAATGTATGTATGTATGTATGTATGTATGTATGTATGTATGTATGTATGTATGTATGTATGTATGTATGTATGTATGTATGGTATGTTATGTATGTTATGTATGTTATGTATGTTATGTATGTTATGTATGTATGTATGTATGTATGTATGTATGTATGTATGTATGTATGTATGTATGTATGTATGTATGTATGTATGTATGTATGTATGTATGTAATGTTATGTATGTATGTATGTATGTATGTATGTATGTATGTATGTATGTATGTATGTATGTATGTATGTAATGTATGTAATGTAATGTATGTATTGTAATGTATGTATGTATGTATGTATGTATGTATGTATGTATGTATGTATGTATGTATGTATGTAATGTATGTATGTATGTTTGTAATGTAATGTAATGTAATGTAATGTAATGTAATGTAATGTAATGTATGTATGTATGTATGTATGTAATGTATGTATGTATGTATGTATGTAATGTATGTATGTATGTATGTATGTATGTATGTATGTATGTATGTATGTATGTATGTATGTATGTATGTATGTATGTAATGTATGTTATGTATGTATGTATGTATGTATGTATGTATGTATGTATGTATGTATGTATGTATGTATGTATGTATGTTATGTAATGTATGTATGTATGTATGTATGTATGTATGTATGTATGTATGTATGTATGTATGTGGTGTAATGTAATTTGTTTGATGTAATGTAATGTAACTGTAACTGTAATGTTAAATTGTTAAATTTTTTTTGTTCTGTAATGTATGTATGTATGTATGTATGTATGTATGTATGTATGTATGTATGATATGTATGTATGTATGTATGTATGTATGTATGTATGTATGTATGTATGTATGTATGTTATGTATGTATGTATGTATGTATGCATGTATGTATGTACGTATGTATGTAATGTATGTATGTATGTAATGTATGTATGTATGTACGTATGTTGTATGTATATGTGTATGTATGTATGTATGTATGTATGTATGTATGTATGTATGTATGTATGTATGTATGTATGTATGTATGTATGTAATGTCTGTATGTATGTATGTATGTATGTAATGTATGTATGTATGTATGTATGTATGTAATGTATGTATGTATGTATGTATGTATGTATGTATGTATGTATGTATGTATGTATGTATGTATGTATGTATGTATGTATGTAATGTATGTATGTTTGTATGTATGTATGTATGTATGTATGTATGTATGTATGTATGTATGTATGTATGTAATGTATGTATGTATGTATGTATGTATGTATGTATGTATGTATGTATGTATGTATGTATGTATGTATGTAATGTATGTATGTATGTATGTATGTATGTATGCTATGTATGTATGTATGTATGTATGTATGTATGTATGTATGTAATGTATGTACTGTATGTATGTATGTATGTATGTATGTATGTATGTATGTATGTATGTATGTATGTATGTATGTATGTATGTATGTATGTATGTATGTATGTATGTATGTATGTAATGTATGTATGTATGTATGTATGTATGTATGTATGTATGTACGTATGTATGTATGTATGTAATGTAAGTAATGTATGTATGTATGTATGTATGTATGTATGTATGTATGTATGTATGTATGTAATGAATGTAATGTATGTATGTATGTATGTATGTATGTATGTATGTATGTATGTATGTATGTATGTATGTATGTATGTATGTATGTATGTATGTATGTATGTATGTATGTAGGTATGTAATGCATGTATGTATGTATGCATGCATGCATGTATGTATGTATGTATGTATGTATGTATGTAATGTATGTATGAAATGTATGTATGTATGCAGGCATGCATGTATGCATGTATGTATGTATCTATGAATGTATGTTATGTATGTATGTATGTAGGTATGCATGTATGTAATGTATGTATGTATGTATGTATGTGATGTATGCATGTATGTAATGCATGTGTGTATGTATGTATGTAATGTATGTGTGTATGTATGTATGTATGTATGTATGTATGTATGTAATGTATGTATGTATGTATGTATGTATGTATGTATGTATGTATGTATGTATGTATGTATGTATGTATGTATGTAATGTATGTGATGTATGTATGTATGTATGTATGTATGTAATGTAATGTAATGTAATGTAATGTAATGTAATGTAATGTAATGTAATGTAATGTTATGTATGTATGTAATGTATGTATGTATGTATGTATGTATGTATGTATGTATGTATGTATGTATGTATGTATGTATGTATGTATGTATGTATGTATGTAATGTAATGTAATGTAATGTATGTATGTATGTATGTATGTATGTATGTATGTATGTATGTAAGTAAGTAAGTAAGTAAGTAAGTAAGTAAGTAAGTAAGTAAGTAAGTAAGTAATGTAATGCATGTAATGTATGTACGTATGTATGTATGTGTGCATGCATGCATGCATGCATGCATGCTTACATACATGTATGCATGTATGTATGTACGTAATGTATGTATGTATGTAATGTCATGTAATGTCATGTAATGTAATGTAATGTAATGTACTGTAATGTATGTATGTATGTATGTATGTATGTATGTATGTATGTATCCTTGCACTTCCCCCTTGCTCCCCAGTATTTCCCGCAAAAAAAACACGGTTTTTCCAGCGTTTTCGCAAAGAGGACGTCCAAAAACATTGAGTTTTTCCAGATTTTCGGCAAAAGGATGCAGGAAGCCCAAGCCAGCAAAAAAGCCGGCAGGGGGAATCGAGCCTGGGACCCCTGTTTTGCGACACCGGCTCCCCGAAGACTACGTTTAGTGGAACGTCATCAAATTGCCGCGCGGTACGTGGGGGACCCCCCCCCCCCCAGAACCTACGTAATAGACGTCGGGCGGGGGGGGGTTAGGGGGGGGGTTATCCTCTATCCTCTAGTAAGTATCCGACACGCCGAGCAATGTCGGCGGACATGGTTGGCTTCAAAGGGAAACCAAAAGGAAACCGTTGCCATGTTGGGAGTCCCCCAAAAACAGACACCCAAACAGTCTCCTCAAACAGCCGCGTGTCTGTTTGGCTTCCAGCCAAAATAGGGCCCCACTTTGTGTTTCAACCGCCCTAGCAACCGGTTGCTACCAGAGTCATGGCCCAGGGTTTGAAAGTCGTCCCCCGCTTTCTGCTCGCCGTTCGGCGCTCTGCTTCCTTGAATCCACTCCGGTTCTTTGAAGCGTTTCAGCTCCCCGGGCCTTGATGCTAGATGGGTCCCCCCACCCTTCCCCTTGACCTCCAAAGCAAAAATTCGGCTCCAAAGCGCCAAGCTGAGCTCTTGGGACGTGGCCAATTGGAGCCTCAGGCTTGGGAGGGTTTTTTTCAATGCCGACATCCCGTGTCGGACTTGACTCAGGTGTTTTGGAAGTGCCCCCAGCTTCTCTCCAACGATCATGGGGGTTCCCCTTTTGCGGAAGTAGTCTTTCATCACCCTCTGATTGTCAGGGGGTAACCTTGCAAGGGCATTTTCCGTTCCCCCTTGGCTGGACCGTTCGCCTTTTGTTGGCCCTGAATCTTGGAGTCTTGATGTCCTCGCCCCGGAGTTGGGTGCTTTCCGCCCTGGGGATTTTTTCGACCTATCCCCGCAGTGGGTCCAGCGGGTTCTTTGTTGGGCGTGTCTTCTGCTCGAGGCCGCCCTTTGTGTTGTTGCGCTGAAGGGAAGCTCGGTCCCAATTTTGGGCGCCCCCCCACCCCTCCCGGTGAAGGTAGGATGTTTCATGGTAGTTTGGGCGGTTGGCCGTTTGGCGCCTAGGTGTCCTTTTTGGTTGATTTGGTTGAAAAATAGAGGGCGATTCCTGGTGCACCTGGTGGTTCAATCAATTGCCAGGGCCATCTATTTTCCGCAAAAGGACACCTATGGTTTGGCGCGTAAAAAATCAAGAAAAAAAGAAGAAGCCACAAGGCAACACCGTTCGGACATGGGTCCTCCACAAAAAGAGCTTGGAATAAGGGTACCAACTTTTTTCTGTAGTCTATGTTAGTAGGGGAACCCTCCCCCCCCCCCTAAGACCCTTAAAACCCCTAAACCCGAAGAGAAGTGATAGGGTGGCCTTGGGGTGGAGGGGTGAAAGGGCCTGGGCCCCGGACCTAGCCACCGTTACATGGGTAGCCAAGGACGCCGAGCTTCAGACGCCCTCCGGCACGGCGCGGCCTCGATCTCGAGCGGTTCTTTGGGCTGTCGGTTTGTCGTCTTCGTTTTCGGTCGCTACGAAAACTGGTCGCGGGGTGTTTCGCTTCGAAAAACCGAGGGGTTTGACAAGGTCACGCCTTTGGGCCTTTGGGTGGGCTCACAGAAAGCCGAGGTCCAACTACCACGGTCCACTTTTTTGCCTGAAGAAGGTGCTGCTTCAAGGATGCCTCAAATCCACCCCAAAGAACCCAGCGGGCTTGAACAAGAGTTCTCTTTGGTATGGTTTCTCTCATTTCGGGGGCAGGGCCCTCACTTATTTTGTTTTACTTAAAACAAATCAAACAAACAACACCAAAAAAACATGTTTTGCAGAGATGCCATTGGCCAGACAGCCATGGTGTTCTCATGTGTGTTTTCACAGTTAGCGTTTCTCAGCAACCGCTATGGGGTCAATCCGATCGATCCCAGGGAGCCAAAAGGAAACGAATCATGTCAGCCCCCCCCCCCCCCCTGTCGCTTGCGGGGAAAAAGCAGATAGGCTTTCTGGTTGCTTTCAAGGATTCTAGACACCAGAGCCCCCCCGCCCCAAGTAAAACAAGCCTTCTCAGGAGCCGCTTTTCGATCCGTCCGATCGGGATAGAGCAACCACCCACAAAGTGAGACAGATGCTCTGGTTGAAAGGATTCGTTGTTTGCCACTGGTATGGTCTCCCTTGTTTCTGTTTGAATGGATTCTCTTGGCAGAATGGCAAGGCAAGCTCCAGCCGATTTTCAGGCCAACCAAGCCTAAGCCGCGTCTACACCCTTCACTTACAGCTACCATTCCCAGTTGCCCAGTGGGAAGGGTTCCCCTTTAAACTCAACCAACAAAAAAGGGCCTATTTTTCCCATGGCCACTGGGCATCTGAGCATTAACTTTGTGGTTTGGAGATTTAACCCCCGGGTTCTTTTTGAGAATAAATGGGAAGCTCCCCCCCCCCAACATGGTTGCTGTTGGGAAACATTTTGCATTTTTGCTTATTGTGGTTTAGTGGGAACTCCACACTTAACTGCTTTTAAATTCTCATGTTGCTCCACTTCCAACGTCAACCAATCCAAAGGCTACCCTGGGTTGGTGGTTTGAACCTCCGGTTCTTGTAGAGGGGTATACAAATGGGACCCTTCACCTTCCCCCCAGGCTCCAGCTCCAAACCGACCTTTTTCCAGGACTCTGATGTCTCAAATTCTTGGGTGACCTGCAAAATCTGGGTGTCCGTCTTTTGTCTCCTTCTTTTCCCTTTTGAAAGTTTCAGTACCAAAGCCCAGCCCTCCTGCCCACCCGCCGAGGGCCCTTTGAACCACCCCCTCGGTGCGCCAGGTCACTACTTCGGCAGAGCTGGGCCATGAGCTGCCGTCCCTGGGTACAGGAGCCCAGTCCGAGCCAGAGCCGAGGTCGGCTCCCTCTCTGTGCTTCCAGTCCTGCCTTCTCCTTCTTCTTGCTGACCCCGGATTACTAAACCTGTTTATCAATATGGGGGTGTTGCTGGTTTTAGTGAGGATGTATAACTTTTGGAGGGGAACTGCCTTTTGCCCTTAAAGGGAAGCTCCAACTCATTCATGTCGATACGGGGCTGGGGGCTCCAAAAGTGAGGAATCCCCACAAAAAGGGGACACCCCCCTATGAATCAACCAGAGGTTTATTAGCACATTAAAGGGCAGCTCCAACTCACTCCCTGAGCTTCTGGCTTGTCAGGGACTGGGACTTCCGAGTGACTCGGGGTTTGGTGTTGCCATGAGAAAGTTGGAAACAAGAGGTGTTCAGACTTCTGGCCAAAGCTGGGTGAGTTATAAGGACGACCGAATTCACCCCAAATGGTGGTTTATGTGGGGAATCGCCCCCCCCAACCACAGCAAGTTTCAGGTTGGTGAAATATTCTATTTCACCCAGAAATCAAGTCCAGAAGTTGTTTGTCACAGCCCTTCAGAGGTGAGATCTCCCACCAATTTGGTACGTAACCTGGTTGGTTGCGCGCTCAACGGAAGCCACAAGCAAATTGAGCAACTCTTGATCTGCGAAAGGAAAAAAAAAGGAAGAAAGACAAGACAGGTGAACTTTGTTGCCTACCGGGGAAGGGCAGCTCCGAAAAGATAGGGAACCGTCCTGAGCAGAGTTCTTTGGCTTGTTCTCTGAGGTCATGAACTGGTTGCTCAAGAACCCATTGTTAGTTTCACAGTTGTTTTTTTGTTGGGGGGAAGGGGGGCGGGTGGCTACGTGGTTTTGGCTTTCCGCATCCTCGGCATCCTCGCTGGAGGCACCCCTGCGTAACATCACCAGCTGTCTTGTCCCTCGGCGAGGGGCTGTTTGTTTGAGTATTGCATCGTTTTTCCCCCTTCTTTGCAGGGCCGTTGTTCGGCTTTGCGATGACCTTAAAGGGCAACACCCAATCCCAACCCTGAATGAACCCAAAGCAATCCAAAGCCCACCCTAGAACTAAAAAACAACCGTCGACTTGTTGCGGTTTTCTCAAATTTCGTCCGAAGGACTATGTGGAGGCAATGTAAAAGCAAACGCTCCGCATCATTTCCCAAAAATTCTTGTTTGGGGCGGGTTGTTGATGACTTCAACTTCTCCATTGTTTTGTGCTTATTTGTCCGCTCTTACGGGGGGCTCTTACCCCCCCCCGAAAGTTAAAAGGCAAAACCTGCCCCTCAGCAAAACCAACGGCCACCCCAAACTATCGCAGTTTTCGTGACCTGTCGACCCTAACAGGGGGGGCGGGGGGAAGTGGTGGGTTGTCCTTTCGGTTTCTTCAAAAAAGCGAAAAGCCACAGGGATCTCTGTCCTGGATTCCTTTCTGCTGGAACATGTTTTGCCCTTTTAGAAAAGCACCCGACAGGTCTCACTCCCTTCTGGATGACGTCATCTATTTTGAGAGGGAACTGCAACAACCTTCTCGACTTGCTGTTTTTTTTTGAATGGGCATGTGAAAAGAAAAAGCCGGAGCAATGGCTTCCATTTGGTTAAGACTAGTCTTGTTATTTTCCCTGCTTGGTTTTAAAGGGAACCCTACCTTTGTTTTTTCCCAGCAGAACCGCAAATGGAAGCTATCCATTTTTGGTTCAGCCAGAGATTGCGCAGTCCTTGCCGGCCTGGCGCCTCAGGCTCGGCCGGGCATGCCACAGGTGCGAAGGGTGCGGACGGTTTCGCGCTTTTGCGAACCGGTAGAATCGGAGAGATCTGCGACGTGAAGTGTTGCGAATGGCCTCTCCCTATGGATTTTGGTTAGGGGAATCCGGTTTCAGTCGGAGCCGAGCTTTCCCAGCGAATCGTCCGGTTCCTTGGGCGCGTTTTTCTTCTTTTTTTTTTTTTTGGGGGGGGGGGAGTAAGTTTCCAAAACAACCATTAGAAGTTCGCGCACATATCTATATATTGTATATAACCTTCATATTCCTCGCCTTGCGTTTGGCGGGGGGCTTGTATTTTTGTAGAGGCTGCCTGACTTTTTGGCGGGGGCCACTGTCATTTTGGTGTTTGACATATTTGCGTATTGAGTGACATGCAGTGAGGTTCAAACCATGGATGGAACAAATACAACATCATTCAAAGCATGTCAGAACTGATTACAAATCCAGGTAGGGATCCACTGACAATGCAGATTTGGTTTGAAATTATGTGGGGAACCCTGGTAAAACCTCAAGATCCTGAGATGTGTGGCTTTTTCTTCACGCCATGCACCGTGCACTGTGCTACGCTGCACAGCAGCCTCATGGCTGGGAAGATGAGTTCGGCCGAGCATCTGGCATGTTTGATTCGAGCAGCCGGCATGCTGTGAGTACCCCCTCAAAAATGGGTTCAGCTGGTGCCCTGCCTGTTGTGCATGAACTGAACTGAGTGTGCCCGGTGCTTTCCTCTCAAGTCGGCAATTTTGATTTGTGGTGTCCGCCCATGGAGCCCCAGAGCCGGTGGCCATCCCGGCCTGAACAGCGCAAGATGAGGGAAAGCCGCGTGCAGTACATGCAGGCACTGGGGTTGCCCCTCTCATCACATCACATGACATGTTCGAATTGTCAGACTTGGGTGCTCTGCTCTCCAGGTGTTCTATGACAGGTTCTTTGAGAACTCCAGCTACCGCTTGGATCGCATCAACCAGATCGCTATGCGGCAGGGCCTCACTGCAGAAAGGGTACATCGGGCCCTGGAACAACAAAAGGCCTGCACCCAGGTTTATGGCCGCAGTGTTTCAAAAACACAGTACTCATTGGTAAATGGAACCCCACCTCTTTAATCTCCCATCAGGTTCCTGTCACCTTCTCGTTCTTGAACCTCTACCGGGGTGCCATCACATCAGATGAGGTGCCTGTCACATCACAGCTGCTCGTGAATTCGCATGCCTGGCTTGCAGGTGGAGGACCCGGTGAACTTTCGGTTCATGATGCGGTTTCTGACCTTCTTTGGGCCGAAGAATCCATCAAGCCGTGATGTGCAGGCATCTTGACATTGCACTTTCATTGACTGAAGGAAATCATTTTTGGGGCTGATGGTGTGTGAAACTGTCTGCTGGCACTGACTCACTGCAGGCGACCTTGGCAGCAGTTGCTGCCAAGCATTGCCTCCTGAGCACGAAGGCCACGAGGCAACACGTGCTGGCAGGGGGCTCAAGTGCATCGGCCCTGCATTGAACGTGAAATTGGTTGAGCTGTCAGGCTTGGGCAAAGGTGGAAGGCGATTTGCACAGAGCCTTCGCCTCATACCTGTTTGATCGCAGCCGCCGCAACGCTGATGCGAGGTGCCCCGAGTTGGTTTGAAACAAGAATTGAGTTGGCCCTATTGGCAGGTACCAGTCATCAAACATGGCTCAGATCAAAGACTTGATGCGGGAACTCAGAAAGGACAGATTTGAATCTAGAAACAACCCTCGACCTGACGAATTGCTTTGCAGGAGGTGAATGGCATGGACAAGCTCAAAGTGATGACCAGACCCCAAAGCACTGATGAGATGGAGACGCTGCCGATGCACATGCATTCAGCACTTTCAGGACAGAGCCTATTGGTTTGTCGTGCTGAAGTTGCAATTCTTTCCCACCTTGATGTTTCTTTCAAACACTGTCCAGTTAATAATCAACCTCTGTCTCCTGTGCACAAGCCGTTCCAAAACCCTTGCTCATCACTTCAGATTCAATAGGGAGACTTGGACCAGTCTCAGCCCCAATGTCAACTCCACTTGTTTGGAGGAAGCCCAATCAACTTAGTTCCCAACAGTTTGGAGACTAGTGAAGAAGGCCTTTTTTGCATGGAGCCCTTTTTGCATTCTTGGGTGTTGTATTGAACCCTTGGCCCAACAAACATAGGGCCTTGCAGTCACAAAGAAAAATGGGTGGGCCCCAGCATGCCTTCAGAGGGTGGTTGGCCTTATCTGACATCCTGCCAAAGCCACTGCAGGCCGCAAGCTAGGTCCTTTAGTGTGCCTTGACACCAGAGCCTTCAAGCCATGTCGGAGCGGTGGTTCATTCCCGAAGAGTACCCGAACATTGAGGTCATCTTCACCGGCGAGAATGGCCAGGTCAGGGTTGATCTTACCAAGGAAACCTTTAGTGTGAGGGAGGCGCATGTCCTGGAGTACACAGCTGAGGTTGTTGATTTTGCTTTGAATTTGACTCGCCAGACCCGGGAAGAAATGCATCAAGAGCTTGTGGATTGGGCCAACGATCGGCCTATTGTGCAGAGGTCGCAGGGGTCTGCTGTCACAGATGAGGAGGTGCGCAACAAGAAAGCTCGGAAGGGGTCAGAATGACACTGAGCTGGCCTAAAGGGCAACACATGTTGGATGAGCCATGGAAAAAATGAGGCGCGGCACTACCCTCAATCATGGACATGTCCTTTCATCCTTTCAAAAATGACTACAAGACAAGAACCTGCCTACTACAATCAAGTATCTATGAGTCCAGTGTTCAGGTTGCACGCCCCAATTTGCAACTCCCTGCCCTAATATGATTTCCATGGCAGAAGCCCACCCCTACCTTGACTGCAGCACTCAAACATCATGCCTGATACGGTTTAAACAATTTCCTGTGTTGCTGCCACCCTGATTGGACAGGTCCTATTTGACCAAACTATTTTGCTGACAAGTGGGCAACCTAGGGACCCTGGCTTCCAGCCCCCCCCCCCTCCAGGAATGGTCCTGAACAGTCCCATCGATCTCGGTCTGAAGGTCTCTCTTCTCACCTGCGCAGGCTGTTTCTGAGTTTGCATCCAGACACCCCAGTCCCCAAACTCGGCTCACTCAGACCTTTGCATCAGGGCTCCACATGTTGATGCAGTGGGACCACCTTGAGAAATGTTTTGCAAAATTTGCTGTTTTGGTAAGTTTCACGGGAGAAGAATTGACAAACCTCACTTCCTAACCCCTTACATCCGCAATTCCTGACTATCGAGTCCCTAGACAGACCTGATTGCAGGAGACTCCGACCATGATGACCCCCGGCACCTTCCAGAGAAGCCCACGGATGAGAAGCACACAGCTGAGGAGGCAACGGACATGGAAGGGGGAGAGGAGGAATCACCAACAGAACCAGACGACTGTGTGGACATCATAATGTGCCACCCGGGGGGTCCAGTCGAACCCATGGATTCCAAAGCAGCAGCAGCAGCCACAACACCGTGTGCCACTGGAGCGCCTGCCAGCCAGCCTGAAGCCAGTGCTTCCCAGGCCTTTGAGCTACTGCAGCCCAGTGCTTTTGTAGCCCCTGCATCGCAACCTGAGCAACTGCAAACGGCCTTGAGTGCCCCTGACCACACCTCCAGTGCCCATGCTCCAACAGGCTCCACCGCCACGGACAAAATGGCCTCCAGCACCCATGACCAAACGGCATCCAGTGCCCCACCAGCTGGCTCAAAGCCTGTTACACCTGTGCAGGCTAGTGACATTGAGGCTGACAGTGCAAGGCAGCCTCCGGGCAAGGTGAGGCTTGCGTTCCAGGCACAGGGGGAGGCGCACAGAGGGTCATCCACTGTTGCATCCCTGTCAGGACGACCTTGGTGGCGCGTTCCCTGTGGTGGATGTACCTGAGCTTCTGAAAGAGGCCGCTGAGAAGGTGGCAGAGAGCTTGGGGGAAAGCACAAGCGAAGAGATCCTTGAGGCACGCAAAGTCCACATGTGATGCCAGGCAGTGTCAGTCTCGTTTGCCAGGCGCAGCGCAAAATGAGAAATGCAGCCACGGCTTTTGAGCCGCTTGCTCAGCCTGAGCCAGCCCCTGGTCGAGGGCGTGGAGGGCGCGCAGGGCGTGGGGGGCGCAAAGGTAAAGGGCGCGGAAGGGGCAAAAACAAGTCTTCTGACCAGGAGGCCGAGCACAATAGCGACCCCCTGACAGAAGATTCAGACCTTGCTTCAGGGCCATCGGAGGTGGAAGCACAGCCCACCCTTGAGGAGCAGCTGGCCCCTGTTCAACAGGCCATGGAACAGAAACGCAAGCGCAAAGGTCCGGCTCAGCCCACCAGTGTACCACCTTCCAACAATTTCAGTCGAGACCTTCAGGGGCAAGTCACAGAAGCGCAGCAAGCAGCTGCAAATCTCGAAGCCGCAATGTCGGCCCACCAATCTGCAAGTGAGTTGGAGGCAGCTTCTGGAAGCAAACAGCAAACAGTGGGCAAGGAGGAAAAGGTGAGCCAAGACAAGCAGGCCTGGGACCCACTGTGGTTTTAGTTCACTTAGGGGAGAAAAACTGCCTGCACCTTCAGTAAAACTGACAAAGACATTGTGCCGTTTAGCCGATTCCCGACTTTGCCCAACATGCATGTCAATCTCAGACACCCTGCGCAGGAGAAACTTGAGGGAGCCATTCAGCCTGACAAGAAGGCCAGGGGGCTCTTGAATGTGATTTTCCTATAAACAAGTTTCCCTTTTCGGGCTGGCCATTAACAAATTAAAGGAATGTCATTTGAAAGGTCAAATACTTGAGCCATGCTTGCATGACATCCATGGTGGCACTTTTCCTGACCGTTTGTCCGAGACTTGTTCCAGGCAAAAAGCAAGAAGGGGGCCAAGAGAGACATTGGCCAAGACATGACCGCCTGGGACCTGGATAATGACCATTGGGGCTTGCTTGTTGGTGGGTGGCCCTGATGTGGCCTTTTTAACCAAGAAGATGACATGCTAAAGCAATTGACTGGGGAGCTTTCAAAGCGG